TTATTTATTCCCTACACAATTAATTAATCTATTTATGTGTAATCTGAAAATAATTTCTGTATGTTCTGTATGTACTGAAAAAAGTGAATAAATAGGCTAAATGATCTGCATCTCGCTCATATTAAACAAACCAAAACATATAAATCTAATATAAGGTCAACTGAGTTTTAGAATCCTCTGCCTATAAATATTTAATTCTCTGTGAATTAATGCTGATCCGTCTTTAATAAGATCCTCATCAAAAGGACATGCAATGTCTGTTTTTAAAACCTAATGTGTTTTACGGACCTATTGAAAGATTTCATTTACTGTATGCACAAAATTAAGAAAAAATATCCTGGACTAAATCAGGAAATAAAACAACTTCATGAGTTTACTCAAGAAAACCTGCTGCTGACCAGGTCAGCTCTGGGGAGAAATTTACTACAGGAACAGAATTGGGTTGAGTAAAATCTCTTTGTGAAACAGAAAACTCAGTTTCCCTGATTTCAGGTTGAGAAAACTTATTGTCAGTAAAACTGGTTTTTGAAACAAACCCCAGATCTGAGCAAGCACAGGGCATATGTGAAAGAATTTGATCACTGAATAGTTACAAACAGGTCATCTTAAATTTTGTTTTAAAAATAATAAAAAAAAATAAAATAAATAGATAAAAACAAACAAACAAAAAAACAAGCAAGTTATTTTTCATTTAGTTTTTAAACCTTCAATTCAAAAGTTTGTTTACACCACCCTGTGCTGGTTAAGATATTATAAATGTGAAAACCAACACTAGAGACAACCAACAAAGTAAAATTCAACTACGAATTTATTTATTTTTTGACTGTTGAGATTAGATTTTACCATCTCTGGGGTTGACTGCAAGTCAGCATGCCTGATGGGGCTTATTGGTTGAGCTGGGCTCTTCCAGGGATTATCGCCAATGGAAAAAGGCAGGACTATAGGAAACACCTTTGTGCTCCAGTGCCCCTTATTGAATCTATTTATATAATAACAATTAGAAGCTTTATTGGCTGAGATTGTGGCCACAAACAAGACATTTAACTCTGATTTCATGCTTAGGATTTTTTCCTCACCATTAACCTGTACGATTCCAGGATGGAGGGAATGTCAGCCCTGATGATCCCCCCTGAACGTCCCCAATTGTTGTCGTCTGAATCTGAACTGTTTTGTAGATAAGCCAAAGCAAAGTGTGATAAATTTGAGCAAAGAAGCTTGTGGTTGTATGGAAGATGATCATCAGCTCCCGTAGAAGCTTGTACCTCTCGAATTAAAACTGAAGCACAATTTCTGCAAAAATAGACCAAACACAAAAATGTGTGTATTTTTGCACAAAATTGTATTTCTTTTGAGGAAATATTATTTTTGTGATTTGCATATATGAATTACACAAAAAGTATAGGAAAATAACTAACTCAAAACTTTCAACTACTCTACCTCTGCTGTGATTGTTTTACTTGTTGCCATCTGACTGATTCCCCTCAACTGCATCTTTTTTTTAATACACAAATTATTTTCTATTTTAATCAAAACTTTTGAAATACTCCTTTGAAAAATCAAAGATATGAATGGATGTGTGAATGATTATGCCTGTATGATGTGTACTTGCCATGTATTTTGGTAAGTTTCTGTGTATTTTAGGATTTTTTGCAAGGTGATGGAAAATTTTATTCATGTATATTCATTAAATGATAAAGAATATCCTCTCATCCTTGCATGTCATAGCAAAGCTTATGATATCACTAATACTCATCACGTGTAAGTTCAAACAATCTGTTTTGTTATAATTCAGCACCCAGAAAAATTATATATTTCCAATCCAAATGAGATGTTAGCAAAAAGATACAGATTCTGCAAAGACTGTAGCCTGTTTTAGTAAGACATCACACCCAGAGTGTTTACTCCCTTTTATTTATAGCACCATGTCCATCTGTACATGCAAAAACATTTCTTTTTCAAATTCTAACTTTCAGCCATATTTTAGTAGCTGTCATATAATTATGACCCAATATTTACAAAACATCTGCTGTCTGGTTAAAACAATGTTACTGAAAATATTAAAATCATATTTTTTTTATCTATCTCTGTTTTTAGTGCATGCATAAAACACTTTCCTGATGAAAATGCACAAGGAAAGACATCAAGAGTATTATCAGTAGTAATTAATGTTTCAATATTGAGCATTTGGTTTACTGATGGGTACTTTTAAATACACATTTACCCTCTCATGCTTTGGTATCCTTAATCTGCAGAAAACTGTTGATACAAATTTCATTGTTGTTACATTTATGTCTACCTGACTTGTTACACTCCACCACCTCTTGAGGAAAGGACAGATCTCTGATAGCAGCTTCTGCATGCAGCCAACCCAGTCAAAACAAAACGGAAATACCCAGGTGGTCGGACATCACGTCAAAGACCTTTTGGTCACTCTTTTCAGATGCTCTTTGATCCACACACATGGAGCTTGATGAAAACTGTTTTGTCAGTTCTCTTGCTGACAATTCTCACCTTAGGCCTCCCACTGCAAACAGTGTGATGACACACATAAATGAAAGTGTGTCACAACGGGGCGCATCAAGGATGGAGACTGAAGAACGGAGTCCGTAGTGAAATGGTGCTAGAGCTGCATGGATGGAGAGAGACAGCAGAAAGAGCAACAAATATGAAAGGGTGACAGTGAAAAATGCCATCAGCATGGAAGGGAGGGCAAAAAGAAAACAGGCCTTAAAGGCGAATGAGTTAATAAAGATACTCCATTCTGTCTATGTGACTTACAGTAGCACAACCTATATATATTGGATTTATGTGAGCAAGTAAGATACAGTATGTAAAGCAAAAGAAGCGCAAAAAGAACACAGTAATGAAGGTACATAGCCAAAAAATATCTGTAAGGTGGTGCATGCATTTGAATTTTGCTCCCTTTATATAAAGAACCCTGCACAAAATCCACTTCAAACTGTCTTCTTTGGAAGTCACCAAATAAAGGTTGAATTCACATTTAACTGTCAGTATAAATACAGCTGTTCTTTGAAGGCATCAGACTTTTATTAGGGAACATTAGTGAACAAAGAACAGTAAGGATCGAGGAAGAGCACAGATTTAGGTTGTTAAAGTTGTAGAGAAGTTTGATGTAGGGATAAACAGTCAATAATCTCTCATTGAAAACTGTTCAGTCTGCTGTCTGAAAGCAGAAAGAATATGACTGAATTGCAAACCCACCAAGACATGATTAACCTAAACTGGTAAAGAAGTATATTTATCAGTCCTTGGTCATTTTTAAGCCCCTCTATGGCGCAGGTTGGAAAAAGTAGTTCACAAAAAAACTTTTAGCCAGGAAATGTATAAATCTGATCATTCACCACATGCCATGTA